CGCGCCTCTGTGTTGCAGGATCCTGCTGACCGTGGTGGTGATCTTCAGGATCCTCATTGTGGCCATTGTGGGGGAAACGGTTTACGACGACGAGCAGACGATGTTCGTGTGTAACACGCTGCAGCCGGGCTGCAACCAGGCTTGTTACGACCAGGCGTTCCCTATTTCTCACATCAGGTACTGGGTGTTCCAGATCATCATGGTTTGCACCCCCAGCCTCTGCTTCATCACCTACTCTGTCCACCAGTCCGCCAAGCAGCGGGAGAGGAGGTACTCCACCGTCTTCCTCACCTTGGACAGGGACCAGGACTCCATGAAACGAGACGACAGCAAGAAGATCAAGAACACCATTGTCAACGGAGTGCTGCAGAACACGGAGAACTCCACCAAGGAAGCTGAGCCCGACTGCCTGGAAGTGAAGGAAATCCCCAACCCGGCCATCAGAACCACCAAGTCCAAGATGAGGAGGCAAGAAGGCATCTCCCGGTTTTATATCATCCAGGTGGTCTTTCGCAATGCGCTCGAGATCGGATTCTTGGTGGGGCAGTACTTCCTCTACGGCTTCAACGTCCCTTCCATGTACGAATGCGACAGATACCCTTGCATCAAGGAAGTCGAGTGCTACGTCTCCAGACCTACGGAGAAGACTGTCTTCTTGGTATTCATGTTTGCGGTGAGTGGGATTTGTGTGGTGCTCAACCTGGCCGAACTGAACCACCTGGGCTGGAGAAAGATCAAAATGGCTGTGAGAGGAGTACAAGCCAAAAGGAAATCCATATATGAAATCCGAAACAAAGACCTGCCAAGAATGAGCATGCCTAACTTTGGCAGGACTCAGTCAAGTGACTCAGCTTATGTGTGAGCCTGTGACAGAACTGAAACACTGTGCCAGGTGGAACAGACCCAGACAACATTAGGGAAAGGTACATTGCTTAGGCAAGCATTTTATCAAACCACCAAGAAAGCCATTAAGGTATCAGATCTACACTTATTGAACTAGATACAAAAATGCAGTACTACATAAGAGACTGAAGAAACAGTTATAAAACTATGCTTGATCTAGCCTTACAGCACAGTTACTTTATTGCTAATGATCCAATGTTATCTTTTGATTGGAGCAGTTTGTTTGGGTTATCATTAGGGTGAGATTACAGTCTGGACTGTCTGACTAATTGTTGTAAACAAGTGTAGAATGTCCATATTTAAAAAAAAAATTGCAAGGATACTCTTTACTGGGGAGGGAGGGGATTGTTGTGATATGCAAATGTAAGCATGCTCTAAAAGGAGGGTAATTGCACTGTTAGGCACCTGACCACAAATTCAGCCAGTACATTTCTGCACTCCCATCTCACAGATGTCTGAATTTATTTCATCCATCCAGGTCACAGAGTTTCTTACTGGTGTGTATTATTAGCTATTTTCAAATATAGGTCTGTACAACAGTTAATTACACTATACAGAGTAATGCCGAATATTATTTTGCCATTTTTTGTTTGCCTGTCCACACACACCAGAGACCTTAATCATCTTATGCTAGTTGTGATCCACAAAAGTTGTCAGTACATTTAAAATAATTCCCTGTGCATAAATGTGCATAAATAAGATGGAATTAATATTCAGCCAAGTTATGTATTAACCTATGATGATCTAACAGACATACCAAAGGAACAGAGTTTGTTGCTTTTAACTGTGAATATGTCACCTTCTTTCTGCTCTTATTTATATAAGTGCCATACTTGAAACATCTAACTCTGTACTTTGTCAAAAGGTCGTCCGGGGTAACAGCTGGAGTAATGTGGTTTTATACTCTCCTATGTTTCTTTTATGCTATTTGTTTAGTCATTGCAATGGTGTAAAAAAGCAGCTAATAATTCTATTGATAAATAAAGTACTTGCCTTTTTTTTTTGTAAAACAGAGAAAATTGCTCATCTTTCTTGTTATATGCAGTTGTAGAAACACATGCGGTCAACATGTTAAACTTGTAAGAATTACTTCTGCTAAGTTTAAGATGCTCCTTTCATGCTATAAATGCTAAGGCACAACAAGATTACATTTGGCTATATTTCTCAATGTGGTAGGTATTTGTGCCTTCTAAAGCCTATTGGAGTCAATTGGCTTCTTTCTATGGCCATCAGGGTGCACTAGCGCAGCTCCTGAGCTGGTTGTCCAACTTATTCTATGACCTGGCTCATTCTGTAAATTTACTCATGACTAAAACTACTGCAACTCTTTGCCATGGATTACAAATGTAGTCTCAGCAAAATGCCAAGTCCCCTAGGACCTTGGCTGAAGAACTGCCTTTTCCATATCTCAGCAACTTACTATCGAGCTGTTAAGTCAGTCACAAACAAATATTTCATGATGATTTAATGCAACATACAATATATTATTGAAGAACCTACTCCAACTGCATTGAAGTCAATGGAATAAATCCTACTGACAATCTCTGGAGTTGGGTCCAGCCTCAAAAAACACCATAAGTCAGTTTCTGAGTGTAAGACATCTGTGCTCTTTTTAAAGAAAGGGCCAAAACTATATGGGAAGTTTTAAGAATATTGTAATGTGTGTGCAGGAGACAGGGGCTGGGTTTTGCAAGTGGTCTGTGAAATAGATGTTATTGTATTTTGTCTTAAAAACTGTATGCATTCATTTGCCCTTATCTCTTTCCTCACCTTAGCTACCCAAATCATTTAGAACTAGTTGGACTTTATCAACTCTGGCAATTTTAAAATGTCCATTAATATTTATACAGTGCTTCTCTGCCTTCAAACATTAATACCTTCATCTGTGGAATATTTATCTCAACTATGAAACCACATAAGCTTTTTGTCCAATATACACTGCATTTTTAAAGGTATGTTTACCAGTTTCCTCACGTCAAAAGGGATTGTTTATTATTATATTGATTATAGAATCCTGCAGAAGGGCTTCTTGGATGATTTGTTGATATATGGATGTATACTTACATTCTTGTTTCCTTCCATGTTAACTGTACAATCATGCATGCTATTTTTAGAAGGACAACATGGCAGCTAAAATCTCCATCTGCAATATAACAGGCTTCCAAAGATTATTATTTGACACGCAAAACCACTCCAGGCAAATCTGATCTTTGCTTCACCAACTACTGGGATGTTCTGTAAATTCGCCTTCTGAGTAGGTTTTGAAGGGAAAATGCTATTTAGCAGTAATAAGCACTATTTCAAAGTGAATAAAATGGGTGGTTCTAAATGAGATTTGGTCTCAGAATTGTTACAGTTAATGGAAAGACTCCTAGTTACTTCATCTTAGAACAGGTTCAAAATGATTACTACTGGGTGCAACTAATGTGACACAATAAATTCCAGAGTTGCTGCATTAGACTCAACAGCTCCTGGGTGCAGTGTGCATGTGCACCCTGGGCAGCAGCAGTTTGAGCTGTGGGGAGCAGCCCTGAGCTGGAAGCAGGCTCAGGAGTTAGCCTTGGGCTTCGGGTGGTGGTGTCTGGTTGCAGAGGGGCTGGCTGGGGCATGAGAGTGCTAAAGTGTGGAGCCGTGTGGCATGCAGCCCCTGCTCTTTAGCACCCATGTGCCCCAGCCAGCCCCTACTACTGCCTCCAGGTGCATTTTAGCAGAGGAAGTAAGTGTGCTGTAAGATAATTCTGTCCCCCTACCGTGGAGTTAATTAATGTACTGCGCCTGAATACTGGTGCACATGTAGAGAGTGACACTTTGCTGTGGAGCTAATTAGTTTTCTTTTCCCCTCCTGTCCCTTCAGCAACAAACTTTTGGAAACTGTTCCTCCACCGTGTATTGCCACTGCCAAGGGCACAGAGCTGGCCAGTAATACCTCTGGGTCCTTAGGATGGGTCCTATTTCTATTTTTGGTATAATGTAATTCTATCTAAGAATAAATATGGGTAAAGGTAAAGGTCTTTATGTAGGAAATGAGAAAGGAAAGAGTTGGATGTGTAAGAAAATGAGATCGGGGCATACTTCTCTCATTTATATCAGTTTGCTACTGCTGTAACTCTGTTGACTTTATCTGAGGCATTCTTGATTTAAGCATTGACAGAAGAATCCAGTTCTGCTCTCTTTGATATCCATGGCAGATCTCTTATCGGCTTCAGTAGAAGCAGGAGAAGACCCTTAGTGAGAGGATTATTAGGCTTATTATTCACTGCATGAGTAATGAATATTGCTCTATCCCAGCAGTGCTGAACCTCTGACCTGTGGACCAGATCTAGCTCATGGTACTGTGCCATCTGATCAGTGGGGCTCCCTATGCATCCAGAAATTTGGGTAGTGGTGGTAGCATCAATTTCTGCCCTGCTGCTACCATATTTCTGGACCTATAGCAGATCTATACCATCCTGCAGACTGGATGACATGGCCTTGCACCCTAGAGCACACCAGTGTGCAGTGGGGCTGGTATGTGGGGTTGGGATCGTAGACTACTGGATCTGGCACCAGGGTTTGACCCAGGTCAGGTGGCATGCAGAAGAGCACTCCGTGTCTGGATTTGGTCCATGCATTGGCCCTGTGCACTCATCCAGCCCACAGGGAAGGAAGGTTGAGCACCACTGCTCTACTTCTATATTTTCCATCTCTCACCACATATTTACTGCTAATATTTCTTATGTTATGTTTTATGACAAGTTTTTTCAGAGACACATCAGGACAGTATTACCAGTGGGCCTAGAGTTAGACAGCAGATCCCACCCATCTCCTTCATGACTGAAAGCTGTGGGTGACAGTTCCATGACCGTGGATGAACATTATGAACAAAACTTGTGTTATTACACTCTTTGGCATGCCTCACTATAATCCCTTGGTCATGAAATGAGTGTAGCCAGATGATGGTGATCTCCAGAACTGTGAGCAAACTCAAAATATCTGTGCATTTCTAAACACTTTCAACATCTAGCTTCTTTGGTGCAGATATGTGTTCCATTTGAATAAGTTCAAGTTTGATTTTTTTATTTACAAAATATTTAATCTTCCTACAGTGTTATGGAAAATATCAAAACCCTTAAGTGTTAAATGTTATTATGTGCCAGCTTTATTATTTACATTACTTACTTCTAATGAAGATGTTAAATACGTTCAAAGGAATAGATAACTAGAAAAAGGTTGTCTATCATAGTGAAAATCCCTATGCTCTTATTTTTTTATTCTACAATTAATTTGTATGTTCCCACAAAAAGTGCGAGATTGGTATCTGCACCCCAAATTGGCCAGCTATATGCATAATCTGCTGTGTGTGTGTGCAAAGTCTGATTTACATGGACAACCATAACACAACCACTAGCACAAATACAATACAGTTGTGTGCAAATTTTTTCATATGTGTAAGTGCACTTTTGAAAATTAGGCCATTTTACTTGCATGATGTTTAGTGATCATATTGATATTGAGGAAAGTTTCTCTGGTTGCCTCTAGCCTATTGCCCTGAGCCAGGACAGTCTTTTTGTTCCATGTTTGTATAGTACCGAACACATGGCAACTAGGGCTGTGCAAAGCTTTAGTCCCTGATTTGATTCGGCAGAGATTCGGCCCCATTTGGTGGCCAAATCTCTGAATCCAAATTAAATCAGAGGACCCTTTAATCTCTTCAAATTGAATTGGAACCCTCCAAATCAATTCAGAGAGATTTGGAAAGATTCAGACATTCAGACATAAAGACAGCTTTAAATGTTTTTTCTACATACTTCTATGTAGCAGGGGCTCATGAATGCTGTGATGCTGGGGCACATGGAGTGTCCCACAGAAGCATAGGGGGCTCCCCAGCACGCTCAGCAGCAGACCCAGAATTGGACCAGAAGCACTTTTGGTCCACTTCTGGGTCCTCCGGGAAGTGCTCTGGGCCCCAACTCCACGTCCCCCTGGCTCCGTGACTGGTACTTCCTGGGTCTGGGGGGGGTCACCTGGGGTTCCCTTGTGGCAGATCGCTGAGCTGGGGAGGTGTGGGGGGGGCCCCCAGCATGTTCCCTGCCAGGCCCGGAAGTGGACCAGAAGTAGTTCTGGTCCACTTCTGGGTTTGTCACTGAGCACATGGAAGTCCCTCCTGCAGTCCTGTGGAACACTTCATGTGCCCCAGCATCACAGCGATCATGAGCCATGCCTGCTACCTTGAAGTATGTAGAAAAATCTTTTAAAGCTTCATCTGTGTCTGAATCGCTGATTCTCCAAATCAGCATTGAATCTTCAGATTCGGATTCAGCCTAATCAAAGAAGGGACAGTGATCCGAATCAATAAAACAAATCACTGTCCCTGATTCGGGCTGAATCCGAATCCAAATCGAATAGGACCCGCTTCGCACACCCCTAATGGTAACCTCTTCCAGGACAGAGGCTTCCACATAGAGTCTGACTCAGAACTGTTACAGTTAATGGAAAGACTCCAATTGCAGAGGGGATGGCTGGGGCATAAGCATGTTCTTTTACAGTACAGTATATTACATACGGTACTAAGAATGCTAATTCTTACATAAAAATTACTACCAATAACAATGATACACAACTACATGAATCAGAAAGAGAATGTACTGAATCCTTAACATATGCAGGCAAGTTTGCTAGAGCAATTTGCTCTAAACTAGATAATAGCATTATGGACCAAAGTTTCAGATACAGATGGATGAGGTATGCCCACAGAAAACAGCATGTGCAGCAAGAGAGGGCACCAACAAACTGCATTTGTACAAGCAGAATAATTGTGCACTTAATCATATATTAATTTGCCCAATAACTTGATGGCATATTTAGGCATGCAAATGCAGGTATCGCTGGGCACACTACTTTCCCTTTGTAAACCTGAGATGTGTTCTTTTGGAAGTTTGAACATCTGATCTGTATTAACTGCTGCAGTAAATCTGTGATTATTTTATTGTATTGTATCAAAAGACAG